TATTCAACGTAAAGAAGTATTATGCCTCTCATGTTGTGACAATAGGCACTAAATTGCTATAGTTACAACCGGAAAGGAGAGATCACAGCAGGCTATTATATTTTTATATCGATCGCTGCATCATGACTTATAATGATTTGATGTAAACATGCTGGGGGAATAACTATGCATCACTTTTACTCTGGGGAGCAATCCTCTGCAATAATTACACATCGGAAGGAGACAGACCTTTAAAAACACAAATTAGGTTTTAAAACAACAGTACTCTCTAAAACACACATTTTTATTAAAGGGATAGTTAACCTCCAAATCAAAAATCCATACCTGTAGTGCTATTTATTAATCTAGGTTGTCTTGGTGTGAGTTACCAGAAATCATACAGTCTAGTTTCATTATTAAAAAACTAAAAAATTTCCTGCTCACCTCCCCTCGCATGGGGTGGTGGTGATGAGCCGCTCTCCCAGTTTGGGGGTCACAGCCCCAAGTGCTCTGATTACCACTGGCACCGCTGTTGCCTTCACACCCTACATCTTTTCTAGCTCCTCTTTTAGCCCTTGTTTTTTTCCCAAGCTTCTCTTTTTCCTTCTTTCTGATGTTGCTGTCACTCAGGATTGCTACATCTACTCTTTTGTTGTTTGTCAAAAGTAAAGGCCCAGTTTCACTCCGAAGTCGTCAAAATCCGATGCTTGGGCAGTGACTTGCAGCATCAGCAACCAACGAAAAAAGGCATCCTTTAACGTCGGCATGATATGCAGCTGGTTGCCATTATAGTTTAAAGATGCCCAGCAGTGTCAAGGGGAAGGTGGCGGAACAGACATGAAATTTAAGGTGGTGAAAGTCCGACTGGGGCAGGCGGGAGTGGTGGTTGATGGGTCCAAAGAACACCAACTTTCACCCGAGAGAGCGTTGTTCGTGTCCCATAAGATCCTTAAGTTAAACCCTGCTTTAGTTGCCTAAACCCAACCATGTGTGTTTGTTGCTAAAGGGAAAAAAAGTCAATTTGCAGTGTTGTACTGAAGTTGTGCATTTATTTTTTAAGAGACTGGATGTAAATGTTAAATTTCCTGTGAAAACGGAAGTGTATTTTGAAAGAAGACAATGCTTGTAACAGGCAGAACTTGACACGGTGTCCCAGAACGTCAACAACCAACACACCCAGGGTACCTTGCATGTCGTATGTGGACATGGGAAGTCCATGATCAAACATCAATATGTGACAAGGTTGGAGTGAGAATGTGTTGATCACATCAAATAAAATGTGTTGGGGTTTTTTTCTAATTTTGATGTGAACTGTCCCTTTAACACACTAAAAATTCCTAGAAAGTATGTTTGTTATTAACCGAATAATTTCTGTAGTAGTTGTCCTGAGTAGATGAACATTCAGGAAAACATGAGCTATGACCAGTTTTGTTTTTGTGTTTAGTGCATCCTAATATAATCTAGCAAGTTCACGTAACTACAGCTTTAAGATGTGGCTGTAAGAAAAATCCCATGTAAAAAAAAAATAATAATAACAGACCAGCATTAGGATACATTAGCTAGTGCAGAAGCATGTTCCTGTGCCTTTTGGGCTTTATGGTAAGCCTTAGCTCTTTCTCTATATGGGTGCGAGATTTCCCCCCCAGCCATGCATGCTCTATGTTAACCTTTTTACTTCCTCGTGGCGATTCCTAATATCACATGCCTCTGAAAAGTTCCCAGCCTTTAGCATGCTACTGGCTGTCCTTGCCTCCATTGTCGAAGGGAGCAGGGTGTTCAGATGTGAAGCCTCCACTCTCTCCCTGCGATGGCAACCAGCCACTCCACTGGGCTCTGCACATAATGGCTCCTGGCCTGCTCTGTGATTGTCTGGAAATGTGATTTTGATGCACTAAACAGTTTGTGTCTGTCATGACTGATTAGCGTCCTTGTTGCAGTCGGTCGGAGGTGCCAAGTCCACAGACAACACTGGGATGCGCAAGCGTGTTTTTGTGGCAAGCATGGTAATATATGGGCGTTTGACCCTCGAGCTAAACAACACATCCAGCAGGACACGCATAATGAAAGGATCGGATATTTAAAGGTTGGGAGGGCAAAGCTTTTTATGTAGAGAGGACACAAGAATAAGAGTTTGTGTTCCGTAGCCTTGTTGTACCACGTTAAAAAATATATAGTTGAAGTGATTCTTGGTGTTCTGTAAGAATAACAAAATAACCTTTCAAGGGAGTGCATTAAACACCTACAAGTGAAGAAGTAAGTCGGGAGAAAGAAAGACCTATTTTCCTCTCCAGTCCTGCCTACATTAACATTTAACGTGAAGGTGGAGCTGCTCAGTGATCTTCTACTAACCGTCTCCTCCCACTCTGTGTCACCTCCAGCACAGAGGTTGTTGAATTCACCAAGCCAATGGCCTTTGTTCCCTCTGTCTTGTAATCAATGCCTTCCTCCACTGTTAAGCACTGGAGTTATTGATGTCTCCACACTGGCTGCACTGGGATGGCTGCCAAGCCGTGTGAGACTCCTGTTCCAGGGTGACTTCTCCTTGTCCGCTATTGGCTGAGCTCGAAGGATCACAGCCCTCCCTACGCATTTAAGTTTCAGGACCTCAGTGGCAGATAAAATGACACTTTGTCTGGTTCTGGCCAAATATAGCCAACCTCAGAGAGAAAAAGACAGCGGATGAATCAAGATGGAAAAAGCTGAGCCTAAACGAGCTTTTTTGTGCCCTCCAATGTCACTGATGACATTTGAAGAATGTTTAGCTGTAGGACGATATAGGGAGTGCAAACCAAAACCAATCACCAGAATTAATGTTGCCATTATACATCTCTGCAAACCAGGGATATGTTACATTTGTACATTTCATATTACATTTCAATTTTCTATTTTATGTTGTGACAATGTCGTGGTTAGTTTTAGACACAAAAACAACTTAGTTAGAAGTAGGAAAACATCATGTTTTTGTCGCAACAAACAAGACTGGTCATGTCCTGAACTATTGTTAAAAAACAAACACTTTTGTCGATACAAACATGGTTGGACATATCCTGACTTATCGATAAAACCACCCAGTTTTTACACGATGAACATGGCTGGATATGTCCCAAACTATTGTTAAAAAACATTCATCTTTGTCGCTAAGAACACGGCTTGATATGTCCCATACTATCATTAACAATATCAGCTTTTGTCGCTACAAACACAGTTGGACATGTCCCAGACTGTTGTTAAAAAACATCCACTTTTGTCATTACAAACATTGCTGGACGTGTCCCATACTGTCATTAAAAATATCAGCTTTTGTTGCTATAAACACAGCTGGACATGTTCCAAACTGTTGTTAAAAAACATCCGCTGTTGTTATAAACATGGCTGAGATGTGTGGTGGCGAAAAGGCTTAGAAATACTTGACCCATTGTCCAAGTTAGAGGCAAGACATGTTTACTACAAATGAGCAACCCTGAATGGTCTCACTCTGGGGAGAAGTCTTAGAGCAGTGTGACCTGGCAAACATTGTGATGGGGAAATAGATGTTGTTGGCAGAACAAACTGGTGGTAGAACGCCAAGTATTAAGATGAAGATAAGCGGAAGTTCTGGAGAAGGCAGGAATCACACCCACACCCACACACACATACACACACTGAAAGTTAGGTATGATGTTTATCCGAGGAGGAGTATAACAATGTTCGGTGAACTGCTCTGCAGGGCTGTCTCATTGTTGCGATATGTCAAGGTTGTATTTGTGTCTCCAATAAAATCCCATAAAGGCTGCAAGATTGATCCTTTGTCATAGGACTCCTTCTTCAAAACATTGGCGCCCAATGTGGGGTGACCTTAAGGGTCAAGTATTTCTTTTGCCACCACAGTTGTCCCCAACTGTCATTGAAAATCACCTGTTTTTGTCGCTACAAACATAGCTGGCCATGTCCCGGACTATCGTTAAATTGTCACTTGCCTAGGTGTCACACCATTCACCATCCCTTCCTTCCCCAGACGGAGAATGGGAATGTCAACATTTTATTCTGGTAACTGAGCTGTGCAAACCATACCCTATGGTATAACATAGGTTTTTATATTGATTTCAAGCAGCCTTTGGTTTCCATTTATTTCATTATTCTGTTAAATAGAAACCTGGGTATGTGGATACAGCATGTTATAAGTCATGGTTTTAACAGGTATTGTAGTTTGAGCACTCAAGAGCATGTTTTTAGATATTTAAATGCAGAAGAGGAATAATTAATGTCGTAAAAAGAATAATGCCAGTTCAGTGAAACTGAAATATCGGGCTGTGGAGCATCCTTGAGTGCATCAGCAGGGAGAGTTTTTAAAATGGTAACTGCTGACAACTGGGCAAATGCACCAAATGCAAATGCAGTTGTTCATTGTAACAGATCACTCATCTCGAGCAAGTTTTAAGTTTGAGTTTCAGTCTATAGTGATGAATGGAAACAAATGGCTGCCTGGGAACACCAGTGAATGCTTTGGAAAGTAGTCTGAATAAATGTAAAGTACACTATTCTGTTGTTGAAGCCGATATCGTAAAGATACTTTTAATATTGTCATATGTATAGAATGCAAATTGCCATATTTACTGTGGTCTGAGACTTACTTCACTGCATACTCTGCTAATGAGAAATGTAGATCAGCTTGTCATCACTTGCCAGGTAAATGTGCCCTTGTTGAAGGTGCCAGTAAACACTGTAAACAAGGAATTTCACACCATGTTTGTGTTTTCATTCATCAAAATTAAGCGTAGTCCCAGCAGTTATTATCACACTCTGTTACCTGGAGCATTTCCCAAGTAGGTGCACTCAAAAAACAGCACACTTTTATACAACCTTGCAATGTAACTCATAAATCCTTGCTAAAGAGTTGACACACGACTTCACAGGGTGACAACATGCAGATACAAATTTTAGCTACAGTATATTGAGGTATAACATACAAAACCACCAACAACACATCCATCTTCTGACTCTAACGCTGCTCTGGTTGTGGTGTGTGTGTGTTTATACCATAGGGCACCTCCCCAGGCCGGAGCCTCAGAGCTGGAGGTGATCTCCCAGCAGGTGGAGGAGGATAACCAGTGCGTGGCCCCTGTCCAGCTGGTCAGCTTCGCCTACAGAGACTTGCCTTTGGCTGCCCTGGACATATCCCTCGCTGGATCCCAGCTCATCTCGAACCCGGACGAAGAGGACAACAGAGAGGGGTACGTCCCACAAATTCACTCCGACACCACCCTTCACTTTCTGTTGCTGCTTGATAGTTTGACCACAGTCAGTCAAACAGTCTCTTGAGATGATTCTGTTATTAGTGAGACGTTGTGAGTGGGTATGTAGGAAAAAAAGGCACTGTATTCAAGGAACGTGAAGCTCATGAACACTTCCATCATTTGAAGCATATCAAACATCACACGTTTGAGGATGCTGGGAACAAATTAGTCGCATGATTATCAATGAAATCTTTCTATAATTAATTTATATACTAAAGAACCCGAAATGTAATTACATATTGATTGATGTTCCTGATGTTTGCCATCACAGTTAAGAAGATACTAGAAATATGGTGCCTCAGACGTTGTCTCTGCTTGTTGCGTGAAAGTGCTACATCCATAATTAAGGCAGAATCGCAATTACTGCAATCTATAATCTACCCTGGCAGAGAAAGGCTCTGCCGTCACTCTCTCCATTGCTCGTTATTGCACATGGTAATTACACCTGGCATATTGAATCACCCCTCATTCTATATTAGAGTCCGGGAGTCGAGGATATTTGGCGACAAATTTATTAGTGTCACCATGTTAAATGGACAATGTCTCCACTGATGTGTTCATTTCAGCTCAATGACACAGCAATTTCTCGCCACCAGACAGGCTTCTGTTCATAATGTCGATTTCTGGCAGAAAACAAAGAGTGTTGTTAGTGCCATAGCTTTCCTGAAATGTCAGAGCCCTGTGGCGGTGCTGTTTCTGTCCACGAAGCCTGCTTGTCCAGGGTTCGTGTTGTTTTCTTATCAACATATCGCCGTGCTGCAGGCTCAGTACTCTCAGGACAGGACACGCCCCTGCTAGAGCACCCCTGTAGCAAGTGTCCATGGCTTTCCACTCAGGAAGCGTGACTCACAACCCTTTGGCATGCTGCGATGCTGGCATCCATGCAGAGAAAGTCGACAAACAGCATAAGCTTAATTAGAGCATCCGGCATTTCGCCATCCAAGCCCCGGTGTGTCAGCTGACCATGTCCGGCTGGACTTTGCCTGGTCTGGCCCGGTCCGGGCCGATGGCTCTGTGGGACGGAGGGCAGGGACAGATGGGTCCTTTCCCAAACACCCACTCTCTTATCGTACCTCATAGCTTTCTCACTCCGTCTTGCTCACAAAAAGGGCAGAAAACACACACGTAGCAGGATCTGGCAGCCCAGCAAAATTATCATCACAGTGGGCACCCTCATATGGCACCATATGACACCCTGGTCCCCTGGGATTTGGCATCGTACAGTGGAAAAGTCATGCAGCGCCAGGACATGTCTCTGAGGGATTTATCAGGTCAACAATGTGAATATTCTTTATCATGAAAAGTATGATAGCACACACTCTGATCAGAGAAACTTCCTCCTCAAGAATTCAGCAGAAACCGTGTGCAATCTGACACCCATGTGAACGTTACCGCATTGTTCAATGAGCTTTTTAGATTGGAATTCCTAATTTTAAGGTCACAGGCATTCCAAGACGTACCTGTCATCACAGTTTCATACACACATTCGTCTTTTGGTAGCACTCTTTGAAAAATGCCAGCTCGTCGCCACAGGTTCTGGCTGCCTTTGTGACTCATGTGTGTAACATCAGAGGAATGACACAAAGGCAGGATGTGTTGTATGCTGCAAGATTTTAGATTAATCAAGGCTATCAGAGGCCCTAATGGCAAAGCAGTGAAATGATTTATTTTGCTCTGTCGGCTCTGTAAACCGCTCTGCTCTTGTTTATTGGAATGTGTAGTCACGGAGACTCCTCTGCATACTGTAGGCTAAATTTAGCACCTTGTAAATGATTGTGTACAAGAATGTAAACCCACTTTCATTGTGTTGCAGTGGCTTTGTGCTTCGATTTTGGTGATAAGCAGGACAGTTTGTTTTCTCAAGCTACCATGACTTACAGTCCTTTCATCTTGGTTATGTCATTTTGTGGACGCGACTCTGTCCTGTGGTAGTAGATACAGGATGTTGTTTGGTTTGCAAAGCTATATTGATTGCTGTTCAGCATTGTCTTTTGGATCTAAACATGGTGAAAGGAAAAGCATGAAGGTCAAAGCTTTACATAGCTTTACACCAGTGGTCAGAGAAGGGAAAAGAAAGGGCTTATTACTAAATCTTTGATGTTAAGGCCTCGGTTTTGTTTTGTTCCTTATGATTGCGGGAAAAAACGAGCAGGATACACACCAGAGATGCGCATTTAGTCTTGCATGGCAGCTCCTCGTGGCTCTTTATCAGGAGACGTGGGCGATTATGTAGGAGGTGGATGTTCTTGCGGACTACAAGGGGCACACGCAGTCCTTGCAGATTCTGTGCAGTGGTGAGCTGGATGGAAATATTAATAGATTTTGGCAGCACCATCTTCTCCAGAACTTGCTGGAAAGATCTTAAGATGAGGGCGGTGTGATTTCACATCCACCTTTGGTCACTTAATTATTGTCTCATTAGTATTGTTTTATTTTATTTTGTTTTTAAATAGTAGATTTATTTTTGAAAATACAGAATATCAGAATTTTTAAAAAAGAGTTGAATGCTTTGTCATGTTTTTATTTTAGCAACTGTAGCAACCTAACCAAGACAACAGAGCTAACAGACTTGTGTAATTAGTGTAAGTGACAACAGCTTGCAAAGCATACACAAACTGACTTCTAAAATGAGTTTTGGTACTTTATTTTAAAATGTGGTTAAAATTTGGAAGCAGCATAATGGAGTGTGCATCTGTTGCATCCATTGTTTAAATCAAAGGTTGTTTTCATTAGCCAAAAATTAGTTTTGCCACCAGTAGGCTGCCTTCCTTCTACAGTCTTTTGCTCTGTGGGATTCAGCACACTAGCATGTGCCAGATTTACTGTCCCGCTCACTCCCTCTGCCTTTGCCTTTATACATCCATGGCCTTTCTCCTGTCCTGTGCACAAGCACGAACACCCCCTGTTGCTGATTGGCTGGGATAGAGCCATTTTGTTTCCTATTTACAGAGCCAGGACTGTGTATGCACACCGGACATTTCAGCGCACACACTAAATGGACTGGCTGAATGGATATTTGTTGAATTTGAAAAAGTGTATTGCATCAGAATCGCTGACTGCACCTTTAAATAATGATTAAGATGTGATTTATTTATTTATTTATTAGTCACTATGTTTTATGTGTCTGAACAAAGGTGCAGCAGCAAGGTGGTTTGTTGAGATTTTCCTCCACCGTAATCCTGTCACTGTGACCTCCAGACTGAAGGGAGCTCAGGCTCCTGGATCTCTCTGCCTGGCCCCAGCCTCCGGACCCTGCACTGCACATCCTGCACTCGTCCTGTGTTATCATCCCCAGATCAGCCTGCTGCCCGCAGCAGCAGCAGCAGCAGCAGCAGCAGCAGCAGCATATGCCGTTGATCTCCAGGGGCCAGGCTGAGAGGTGTGAGACACCGCAGCAATGACAGATGGTTCATATGGGTCAACCTGCCGCTTTGACTGGAAGAGAGGGGAGGCGGAGGAGATAAAGAGAAGGATGGAGGGAGGACGACCCTCCTCCACACTTTCATTCACAAAGCTGCCGGCTGCAGATCACAAGGAAATGACTCCATTTGATGAATGTCATATCTGTCCACACTGGACGGGAGTGTGGGATTAACCCTGTGCCACATTGCATGGAGACAGCCACAGTTGCTAGCTGATACGCTGCCGGGGTGAAATGTCGGATATTAGATAAGGTTAAGTGAGCCCAGGCCAGCCCAGAGTGATTACATTACTCAACAGTGCTCAGACTTCCACAGTGAAATAAAGTTCTCTAGTCAGTAAACTGCAGTATGTCAACATGCACATAATCAAACCTACAGCCGGTTGACAGTAGTCAAGGTTGAAGTATAATGGAATAATTAGAAAAATCTAGACTGTAGAATATAGCACTGACGGACCTTGCCAGAGTCCAGTATGAATCTTGGCAGCAGCAATATTTCATGGGGCTTTGGAACCGCAGCCATACTATACCTGTTCTGTGTTGATGGATGTCTGAAAAGAGAGCAGGATTTCTCTTTTCTCCCCCCTCTGACTCCATTTCAAACACACAGAGGAACAGTCCTCTCTATCAAATTGGCTCTCTTGCCTGGCACCATGTGCGACACAATAGATGACATTTGAGTGCAGGGTTTGAGGGTTTGTTAATATTCACAGACATGCAAAGTGTGAGATTGCTTTTTAGGCTGAGAGCGAGAGAGATCAAGTGTCCTGGTGAAAACCCATTTATCAGGGACAGCTCGTCTGCTGCTCTGCACATGGAGCCCCATCCATCTCCATTTGCGTAGTATCTGCGGCCCATTTCTCTGGCAAAGACCGGCTCCGAGTCCCCTCTGCTAGGTTGTACCATGGTGGAGGATGTAAGGAGTGGGGAGATGATTGTGCTTTGAGACCAGTGGAAAGATCTAGTTTTACTGGGAAAACTGGCTGCATTAATGAGAAGAAAAAAAGTTTGCTAATTACCCAAAGAGAATGCTCAAGCCTAAACTTTGTTTATTGGCATCTGAAATCAATTAGGCCTTTGATTTGTTAATTTACCGCAAAAGCGTTCGCTAATTCCCCAGGCATGAGACTGTGGGAGATTAATAGCAATGAAACGTAGAAGTAGAATGTACAATTGATTACCTATGATAACTTCACTTTATTCAGCATATTTATTGCTTAGCTGGTTTTCCTCTCTCAGGGCTTCTTTGCCTCTTTTGGCTGTGATAACACAGATGACTCAGCAGTGGTTACGCAGGAAAGGATTTAGCCAGTAGTTATGCTGGCATTTGTCTTGATATCCAACAATCGAGGCGAATGCCCCACCTGTGCTTTCTCAGAAAACAGAAGCTCTCGTGTAGAAAAAAAATGCATATATCAGGAATTAAATGAGTAAGTTAAGTCACAAGTGTAACATAGAGAGTTTGAACAGCCTGAATGGGATGAAGTCCTCCAACCTCTGCTGCTCAGTAGCCTGC